ATGATAGACCCCATGTCGCAGTTGATATCCTTGTCAATGCACAGAAACTCTTTTTAGACTTTTCATTAACTATTTTAATATGTTCGATAAATGAAAAGTTTCTTTCTAAAACTAATCCTAGATAACACACTGTGGTTTTATTTTTTACAGTAACATTGTCAAATCTAATGCTCGGCGGTGATTTGAGGTTACCTTTTAAAAGTAATTGGAAGGTTTTGTTGGGTGCAAAAGTTAAGCGATTACGTTCACCCCATTGAGATATCAAGTTCAAACATCTATTGGCTAATCTCTCAAGCCCCGCCCTAGTATCAGATTCCACCAGTAATAAGCCGTCATCAGCATACGCGTTCAGAGTACATCCGGATGGTATTGGTATCGTAAGAAAATCGTCGAAGCCGATATTCCACAAGTATGGACCTAGCACCGATCCCTGAGGACATCCCATTGTAAGCGCCTTCGACACAGAATGATGACCAAGTCTTAGTTTAGTTGTACCTTGTGAAAAGTACGAAGAGATAAGGAAATAAATATTTTTAAAACACCCCCGTGATTTTAATTTCAGCAACAGCATGGGCCACCATGCGTTGTCGAAGGCGCCAGATATATCTAAGAAAATAGCCAGCACGTATTGAAATTTTGACTCTGTGACAAACTTTCTAACCGATATAACAGCGTCAGTTGTCGATTTACCCAACGTAAATCCAAATTGTCTATCATGAAATTTGACTCCACCTGGCAGAAGCCGGGGCACTACAAGACGTTCTAAAAGCTTTCCTAACGATGGTAACAATGTGATTGGTCGGTAGGATTTAGGATCATCCGGTGGCTTGTCGCCACTTTTTGGTATTATACGAATATTACCGCACCGCCATATACGAGGAAATATTCCTTCAGCAATGCAACGTTTAAAGACAGTGAAAATCGTGTCACCCGAAAGTTTACAAGCTTCTTTTATCATTTTGTTAGATATTTTATCATCACCCGAAGCCTTGTTTAGCGGCAAGGATCTAATGATACCGAGAAATTCGTCTGAAGATGGTAAATCAGACATTGGAGACAGTGGTGGTTCGATGGCCCACTGCCTGATCTGTCGGTGATGATCAGTGTCGTTTTCCGGTCGATCGTCAGGTACGAGTGAGTCTAAAAGATATTCTGCTGTTTGTTCTACTCCTGTGGTATATCTGTTATTAATTTTGATGTTCTGTATGTATGCGTGGTCGATTGATCTATTTGCCTTAAATTCGTGATACAAAGGTGACCACGGGCCCTCTCTATCGAGTTTATTAACAAGTTTCTGAATTAGGTTTCCCTTGGATTTTTCCACAGCAGCTCTGTAGTGGGACCTGGCAACTCTAAGAGCAATGAGAGCAATGTTGTACAAATCTCCTGTTACGTTATGTTTTTTAATAGTGTTTAATTTTCTACGAGCTTTCCGGTAGCTTCTACGTAGTTCGGCTAATCTATCATTCCACCAATCACATCTACGAGTGTTAGTGATAGATCCGCGACCAATAGTTACATCAGCGCAGTATGTAAAAGTTTCTGATAGTATTTCTGCGCTTTCCTCAGCTGATAAACTACTGCGACTGAAGTCTTTGGTATGAGTTGCAAAGAGTGACCCAAACAAAGCCCAGTTCGCACCTTTAGTTTTATATCTAAAATTATAGGGAGCCCTTTGTTCATTCATTCATTTCCGCAATGAAATCTTCAACCGCACAACGTCGAACCGTGTCGGTTGAACGCAACTTGCCATACCATAATGAAGATGACGCATTGACATCAGCGCCAATGATAATTTTATGTCCCACGAGGAACTGCAAGACGTAACGTAAGTGATGTAAGTGAGGATCAATAGGATGTGAATATTGAAAATAGCAGCTCACTACGTAAACCTTACAGGTAGAGGATGAGATCTCAGCAACGGCGCAGTGTGACGTCATAAGATTACGCAGAGATGTTACCGTAAAATTAGAACTTGCAACATATATCCCAGCCTGCGAACGGCAGTCAAGCTGTACTACATTACGACGCAAGTGAGCGCTCTGATATTGTTCTTGTAAAAGGACAATGTCTAACTTTTGTTCTAAAATTAAACGGTCTAATTCTGATGTAGCTATTTTATCGTTATGAAGATTTAACTGGCCTATCGAAATATTATTCATTACTTAGTAAGTTACTCTTTAAACTTTTTTTTTTTTTTTTTTTTTTTTTTAACTAAGTTAAACTATTCAGTAATTGGTATTTAATATCAGCTGTTCCAGTTTTAATTTGTATGTGGCACAGTCGTATGAGCCGCATCGATGGTCAGATGGTTTTTTGAACCGCTTACACTGTGTACACGTGGGCTTAAAATCTGGTGTGTCTTTATCTGGACAAGCTCGCGTTTCGTGTGCGGCGGCGCAATTAGCACAAGTAGGGGTTTTAATAGTGCAAAACTTTTGTACATGACCGAATTGTTGACAATTTAAGCAACGAACTACTTCTATATCGTCTATGAATCTACATGTGGCCCAGTCTATATAAAGTTTATCTTTTGTGTTGGCTAGATGTTTCCGAACTGCTGCCTCTAATTCTAAGCCTATCCATTGACGCCCATTTTCTAGTTTACGATGCCTAACAATTTTGGTTGACTTAATAAAATCATTCTCACTTAATTTTAATTCGTCCTTGATATTCTGACGGTATAAAGCTGTTAGAAAGGCACGATCTTCCATAGAACCGGGTACGTCTTTTACAATTATACGGGGCCTACGGCCTTTCGGTTTTTCTAAGCGCAACCCTACTGATTTAATGGCGTCCACAGATTCCAGTTTCTTAAGCTGCCGTTCGTTAGCTACACGTAACACGACGCCTGCCTTAGAGGTTTTTTTAACGCCTACAATTTGAAATCCCTCATCGCTCGGTTTAATAGCCTTCATGAGAGCTTGTTTCGTTGCTGACGAGGTCGCATAGTCCGCTAAGCGTTCCGTAGTGGGATAGGCAATAACACAAGGCCTAGGAACGCGCGCTTCAGTAGGTACCGGGCACGGAGCAGATTTAGGTGGTAATCGAAGCTTAAGTTTGTCCGCGTACGTTAAACTCGTTTGTTGAGTTGCGATACACTCCATTTGTCGCTCAAAATTCGCTAACTTCGTTTCGTTGCTAGAGGATTTTATTGCTAACAAAGATACGATACCGGTAATTCGTTGAGTAATATCCATAATTGCCGTTTTATTACCTACATTCATCCGAGATCCCTGATCATTAACTAATTCATTGATTTTTGCCAAGTACTCGGTAGCCTGTGAGACTAACTCGCAGTAATTGTATTCCCCACAGTTATCACGACCGTTAAGAGACGAAACATTTCCACTTAAATCCGAATTATTAATTCGATTACTTCTATTGTCTTTCGGCGAGAAATCCGTAGGTGACATTTCGTTAAATGTCCTTTTCCCGGTTGGTGTTAGAAATTCACTTGTACCGCCGGGGTCCGGCAACTCGCTAACGACCGACATAGCCAAACAAAGACACACCAAACAACAATTTCAAAAGGAACAAGTTTAAAAATAAACAATACGCAGAGAAAAATCAATATAAACAAAGGATACCTCCTACCCACTTTTAGAAAGAAAATAAATTTACTCACCAATAGTCGTAATAAAATAATTCAGCACTATATTTCTGTTTAAAAAACAATAAAAACTTACTGATATTCTTTAAAACACTATACACAACCTTAAGCCGCCCGCAAACCGGGAACTAGTCGCAGAAAAACACAGAAAACAATATTTAAATTGTTAGCATATGAAGTCACACGTTAGTCGCACAGTGCCGCGAAGAGAAGACTGATCGTCCCATGACTGTCATAAAAGCCGAAAAAGAGAGAAAACTATACAGGACTACAGCACTGCAAAGAGAAAGAAAACTTGAAAAAAACCCTATACTAACCCGTCTGGCCAGCGTGATATAGTAGATCAAAACCTCTTTTCTAAGGAGAGGCCTGTGTCCGTCCAGGAGTGGACTGTTATAGGCCGTTCATGGTGATTGATTACGTCTTGTCCATTGAGGCCGCATCCATACTAATATTACAAATGCCACTGAACCAATTAAGATGAAATTTGGTATAGAGATAGCTTAAGTCCCGGGAAATGACATCTCAGAAATCATCCCTTAAGGGGTGGAAGTTTGTATGGGGAATCAATAACCAGTAAATCGATTTAGATGAAATTTGGTATAGAGATAGTTTGATTTTTGAGGAAGGACATAGGCTACCATTTACCTCGATAACCGACATACACAGCAAAAGCTAGTAATATTTATATATTACTAGGTTTATAGGCGAAAATTATTTATGCCTAAAAATTTCATCTTGTTAAATTTATGTGACCATTACTGACCTGAAGAATAAATCAGTACTAGACTACAGACCGGAATGTCGAAGTGGCTTAGATAGAAAAACTTTCTTTAGAAAGTCTCTTATTTTAATGTTACCAAATTATAAGATCCTGATGCTAATATGTATATCAGTATTGTGAATTTATTTTCATATGTACTGGTCACATTTTATAACTGAAGGTGTTGCTTAATACGGTAAATGAAGACTGTCTATAAAGCGCAGTGGCTTAAATGATCAATATCTTCAATTACTACCCCGTCGAGTGTTGTGAGGTTGGTTCGATGCCAACATGGGACATCGGACATTATTTGTGTTGTTATTGAGTTTACATTTGTTGAAAGAAAAGTTTCTCATATGTATGTTTTCGATGCAATTTAACCATCCCTTAAAATACTGAATAATCATAGTAATTGTAGGTAATTATTACCATAACGGAAGCAAATACAACAAGAAAAGTAACATAATGTTTTACATAAAAAAATATTGTAAATTAAAAAGAAAACATAGTGTAGATGAAAGTTTTCATTCTTATTTACACACAAGTAAAACAACTTTATGAATGAATATGTGTAAGATTAAATCTGGACCATACTGACTGTATCTACTTGTCATACTGTTTCAGTGGCACTTCCAATATTTGGCGTCCCGCTTCAACAGTCTGTGGAACGGTCTAGATGTCACGACGATACCAGTCTGCCTCTGGTTGTGAGAGATAGCATCGATTATTTACAAGTAAGTAATCCACTGCATATACCAATCCCAATGTGCGCCATAGCACCCGGTCCTCTTCGCTTTCCTGATCCAGTCTTCAATTCGTCAGGTCATCGGTCCATCTGCCCAGCAGTCCACTTACTGTTTCACTCTAATTTACATTTTATTATTTATTGTCTTTCATTTTTCGTCCATTATTTGTTCGTAAACGATAATTTGAAATGTTTAAAAAACCATGTTTTTTTATTCATACAAATACAATTGTTAAAAATGTACATAATTTTAATAAATAAAACAGTAAAGACTACTTATTGATCCCTTACGACCACGGTTGGGTAAATATGTGAAACGAAAGCAAAGCAATGAAATCAGGAAGCTTGCAACATGTGTTATTAGATATTAAATTGTTCCTATATATATTTTACTGATTCATAGGAATCAATTGCTACCTACAGACGATTATCGTACGTACGTATCGTAATAAACCCTTTTAACGGATTCTTGGTTTTACTGCTACCGTGATAGTTACGGGTAAGGTACTAGAGGAAGTTTGAACCTTTTTTATCCCGGGAAATACTTTTCGCACCATACCCTACATTGGGGAAACGGAGGGCGTGTGGGGGACTCCCGTAGAACCGATCTACCCACAACCCCTCGGCGACCTACCTCGGCAGTCGGGAGGAGCTCCAGGAACGCATCTGCGGCTTCTGGAGTCCTCCTTGCCGTACCCTATGTCTGAGGCTCAGCTCATTAAGGATAACTATATTACTTTAGAAATTGACATATTTTCAAATTCTGTCCTAACTACCAAAGATCATAGAAAATTTTACAAGGTCACGTTGTCAGTCACGTTTAAGCCTTTCAGTTTCATGCAATTCTTACATAATGGTTCGCTGATTTTACTTAGTACCTACGATTGGTGTACTTACTGGTAATATCGGTAATTATTTTACGGTCGGGGAACAATGTAGTAGTAACATTTTGCTTCAAAACATAAATTCGACAGTACCCGTTTTGTGAGATGATTACCTAAACTGAAGTCTGTTGTAAATTTTACTTACAAAGCCAACCTATATGCAAGATTTCTCTTTATCTTGGTTTAAAAGAGAGCATTAGTTATTGTGTTGAAAACTATTGTTTTAAATCGTCACAAAGTATTATTGTCAATGTACCGTATGTTCTCAACCATGGATATAATGACACTCATCAATTTTAGTTTAGAACCATATTACCGTGTTAAATTGTTTGTAATGGTGTAGGTAAATGTATCTGTGTGTGTATGTATATTTAATTTGTAAATGTATCTGTCTATAAATTTCTACAGATTTCACACATTGCAACATCCCTACTATCATTTCATTCACATATCACATCAATCCAAATATAAAAGAGAGAGAAGGAAGCTCGCCTGACTGTTCGAATTTTGACCGTTTTGAAGGCCTCGTTTCATACTTCAGCTTAACTTGAACTTGAATCATATAAACTTTTGCACCATGACGGACCAAAATATAAAGGAACCAATCAATAACTTGAATCGTTTTTACAGATTTTTTTACTTTAGAACACCTTATTTAAAAATTATAGCTTTTTGAACTTTTTCTTTTAGTATTTGAAATGATTCTTAGCTATCGTATATAATTTACAGGCTAATGGTATAAAATCTACCCAAATCTATCGTTCGGAGCCAGACAAGATAAAGTTGCAACAACTGAAGAAACTATTTACAGATAGGGGACCTACATTCCCTTATCATTGGGATGTTCCTGTGGCCTGTGCTATGCTTAAAAACTTTATTAGGTAAGAAAGATTTATTATGAAAATTATAAATATTGGATTTTTACGTAAGTATATCAATCTTTTTGATAGCACCACTGATGAGCCACTGCCAATCCATCGCCACTGGAAAGACACTGAGTTAGTGTAGACTACCGATATTTATACCGATGCCAAAGGCCACTCGATGGCATCCCAATAGCGTGTCAGTGGTATGACAGTGGCTTGGCGTGAACATAAAATAGCAAAATTGAGGCCCAGACCGAGAGTTGATCGAAACTGCATTTAACTTTTATTACGAGAATCAACCTTCAGGACACATGAAAAAATATCAATTGCCTTTGATAACGTGTTGGGCGCCCGCATCGCTGCTTGAGTTGTGTGTGAGAATCTGACTTTCTTCGTTTGAGTTTAAACCGAATCGATTGTTTAATAGATTTGACTATAATAGAATTGACTGCACGGATGGTGTAGTGGTTTAAGCGGTCGCCACGCCGCTTCCTACTACACGACACTTTGTGTAATCCACAAATTGTTGTTCTGAGTCTGGGTGTTCTTTCTGTCCGTTTCATGTATGTTTGTAAAGTCCCCCGCGATACAGGATATATTCCTAATGCGGGAGTTGTCTTATTAAAAAAAACAAAAAAAAACTTAGTGAGATTTAACAAATGTGAATCAAGTATAACTTACATAAATTTATACTTGACTATGATTAGGTTAATGGTTGAAAAAATCCTTCACTCATTATCCTAATTATTTACAGATAATTATTTTTTAATTGTAGCTAGGAACAATCGATTAATACCTACGTAGGATATAAAAATGAAACTTCTTTAATTGCAATGTATTAGGTACCAGGGATTTCCTTTCTAGGGGTTTTTAGTCGGTTCGAGTCCGACATAGCCACCGGTGGGTGGTATCCGAGGGGATTCCCGCACAGAAAAACAAAAAGGGGCAATGTATTAATGGTAATCAGGTCTGGTATCCCTAAAATGGTAAACGTACTATAATATGTGATTTAGTATTGTATTGTTTACTGGTATTTGTATACCCAGGTTCTTTTATTAATTTATATAATTCTTAATTTTCATATTTTGAAAGAAAGAAAGAAAGAAAAATCGTTTATTTTGGCAATAATACATTTTGAACAATTGCAACTTGGATTACCAACGATGCCAAAAACGGACCCAATTCAGCCTTATGTCAGATGGAAGCCTGACGCTGGTTTTCAATTGGGCCCAAAATGATGCTATGCGTAAACCCTGTTGCATGTAGTACACATAACACATGTAGTACACATTGTATACATACATCACAACATTAATAACATATAACTATAATATATAACATATAACAAGACAAATTACAGATATGCAGATCACAATAAAATACACTACGATATACACAATATCCAACAACGTTAATCTATAAATATCCAAAGTCTCCAAAGCGTGCACGCCCCTCATCCCTGACTCTGACAGCGCTCACGTTAAATCAGGGAAGAGTTCACAATGGCCATATCCAGTCTCCGCTGTGCGTCTATGAGATACCGCCGCAATCTATATTTAAAAGTGCCAATCGTATTTGACGATCTTATAGGCGGCGGTAAATTGTTCCATATCTTTGAGGCCGCATAGCGGAAACTAGCTTTGAAAGCGGCCGTTTTATGCGGTAATATAGAGAGTTGCCGTGAGCACTGTCTCACCGTACAATCACGTCTATTGGACACCCATTCCAATTTACGAAACAGGTAAGTTGGTTCGCGGTGTTTAACAATGCCAAACATTAGTGATGCTAAGTGAAATTTTCTTCCAGTGAACTACCAGACTCTATTCTGACGCAAGAGCTACATGGTCAGTTCGAACAAGTGACGGCGATTGCCGAGCCACAACGTGAAACTACAATGTTAGCTCTCATTGGCAAACTGCCGGCTCCCAACTACAGCTTGCTGGGATGGCTTATGAGACACTTTGAGTGCGTCGTGGCCAATGAACAGGTATGATGATAATTTTTTTAAGTAAACTAGTATAACTAAAAAAGTATTTTGACAAATGTATCTGTATAAATAAATGTAATTGAAGTGTCTGTTTGTGATGTCAAAATAATAAGTTTTTTTCCCGCAATACCTATGCCTAAAAACCAGTTGAAATATTTTTTGGCTGTCTGTCTGTTTGTTCCGTGTAATCTTCAAAACGGCTGAACCGATTTTAAAAATATTTTATTACCAGGTAGCTATCTATATAAGGAGTAACTTAGGCTATTTTTTCTTAGAAAAATCCTGTAAAATTTTGATCGGTCCGGGAATCGAACCCACTAAGGCAGCGCTTTTCAAATTCCATGCGAACGAAGTCGCGGGCACCAGCTAGTAAAATAATAATATTTAGACCTGCCTGGTCGGTGGTCTGAATGTAAGTAATTTAGAGCCTGTGCTGTGGTTACCAGATTTCTGATAAAAGTAAGTAATATGTTATAGGTAAATTAAAAATATTACACCCAGGCAGCACAATGATAGTTTTTTGAAATGACGTTCACATTCACTGAAATGACGAGGCAGCACCCAGGACCTAAAATCACATGGTGCGGGTCCTTCCAGAGTAGGGCCTGATGGCCGGGGCGGTCCTCGGGGTGGTTTTTAGTGGAATCACCACATACCCTGATATCCCTAATATCAGGCACCCTGAGTCTCCCCCCCTCCCTGAGTCCCCTGAGAATGAGCAGGAGATCCAAAGGGATATTCCATCCCGATAATAAAAATTTGGCATGTTAGGTCCAGACAACTTTCAAAAATGTCAGAGCGCCTATATTATTTTGTTTATTTTCTTGTTTTCATTTTTTAAGATTGAATTACCACAATTTTGTGTAGTTTCCATGTGCTCGAAAATAACACTAGGCCATAAGGTTTTTAAGGGAAAAATACACTAAAAACCTTGTGGAACTGTGCAGAAACGTTTTGAATTTTTAAAAGCGCGCATTATCGGGATGGTTCTGACTGCTAAGCCAAAGGTCGTGGGTTCGATTCCCACCCAGGACAAATAATTGTGTGATGAGCAGATCATTTGTTCCGTGTCTGAGTGTAATTTATCTATAACATGTAGGGACATAAATACATACGTATGTATTTAGAAATATGTAAGTAGATTTATCAGCACTCTGGTAACCGTGGTACAGGCTCTGTCTCGTTTGGGATCAGGCTTTTGGTTTTACTTATCAATCTTTCCAACGTGTTTTTTTAGTTAAAACGCTTTAAATAAGTAATGAATAAATAATATTCGGGTTAATCATAATAGTGGTATACCATAAGAAAAAAAACAAATAATTCTTGTCGTTATCAACAATGTATGTACTTTTATTATTTATTAGTATCCACTTATTATTTATTAGTATTTAATTACAGATAAATCATGTGAACATACAAACAATAGCGACCAATATGGGACCTGCACTGAACATGTCTTTGAATCTACTCACATATTTCATCAGTAAAGCTGAAAAACTGTTCCCCGACGTTCATCTCTCCAAGTGAGTCACTAATTAAATCAATAATCACTTTTACATTGCAGTTTCTTTTGTGATATTACAGAAGTATGATTTGTCTAACTCTGGCCATTATTGTTCATAATTATAAAAAAAAAAAACCTTAATCTATTGCTGGGCTAAAGAAGAACGAGCTCCTGAGCATAATTCCGCATTTATAGTATTGATACCAAACCCAGCTGACAGACGTTTAGCCGTCAGAGATATATTGAGAAGAGTTAGGGATACCGTAAGACAGGACCTAAGGAACAGTGTTCCGTGTGCGCTTTTAGAGGACTGCGACCGAAGGGTGACGGTCGCAACGGGCGACAAGACCCGTCTTGGGTGAGACGGGTCAATGCCTGCCTGCGGAAGAATGCATTTGCGAATTTCGCTCCTTGTCCCCAGAGGAACACCAGAGTGGTTTGTAGTCTGTAAGAGACCGACAGACCCCTTTCAACCCTAAGGACATCCATGAGGATCTTACCCTAATGTTCACCCTGTAATATTATACTGCAGATAATATGGAAGACAAATCCTTGTCCTAGGAATACTGTATTTCAAATACATGTGTAAATTTAAAAAAAATATATACGAATATAGCATACAATGGTAACACTGTAACACACATTGAATAGACATTTTGAAGTACTGAGGACCTACGTACATGACGTAGAATAGAGGGTGACTTAGCAACGGGGAGTGGACTAGCGAAGGTTCGCTGAAGACGCGGGTTGATTTCAGCTCTGTGCATGTGTTTACATTCCCTTGATTGTTTCTATTAATAATGGTTTTTTTATTTGTAAGTACAAAAACATATATCTTGCCTGATTTAGTATAAAACAAGCACATTATATTTTTCTATAAGTTTAGGTTTAAATAAGGTTATGTTGATACGAGCATATTGAAGTTTCCTTTAGAAACAACAAAAATACAACAACAGTTTCTATAAACTATTTTTACTTAGATTTACATTTTTCATTGATCACTGTATTATTTCAAATCATAACTATAGGCTCATGGTGGCGCGGGTACTTAACATTTTTTTAAGATATTTGTAAATGCGTCACTGTGGTGTATACCCATTAATGTACCGAACTTTATTTATATTGGGAATGGTAGGATACAACACTCTGAGTGCTAGAAGGGAACTCGCATTCACCACATTTATCTTAAAATAATTAGGAGGAAAGTTCATAATGCTGAAAAATTCATTATGGGGATCTTGTGTCAACTAGGGTGAATTTCCGCGCATTTCGCCTGATTCTGCCATACATATTATAGAAATCAAATATAGCTCACTTAGGACCCATAATATTTCGTGGCCGTGGAGCTTCCCTGTTTAAAAGGGTGTATACCTATTTTACTTCATTTTGTCTCCCGCTTTGCTAAGGAGCGAAGTGAATTTATCATATTTCCAACTCCTCCAATTTTCTTCTAATTAATTTCATTGCGGGTTCCAAGACAGTTTAATTTTTTTCCTGGGACTTCCCAAAAGTCATAACTCGGTGTGTTCGTGGGTCACTGCTGTTGATCCTGGTGTACAGGAGTTACAGTGATGGGCGTGTGGGTGGGATTAGTTCAATAAGAGTAAAATGCTGAAACATGCAGGACAGGCATGTGTGGCGACAGCGACAACCGAGGTTGTTGGCGGAGCCACGCCCCCGTACTAATCTCTTAAGTCAGGCGCCACTCCACACTTTAAACCTTATAGACAGCGAGATGGACATATTCTGTTATTCTGTTGTGTTCTGAATGAATACACGAGGGTAGCTTTGAATGTTTTGTTACAATATTATACATATATATATATATATATATATATATATATATATATATATATATATATGTATAAATATGTTTATGTATAAATATATATATTTATAAATAAATATATATACGGTGCGGGCTGTTCCTAGTTTGGAATCGGACGGTCGTATGTGAGATGTTTGAGGTTCTTATTATTCTTAATGTAATAAGTACTATAAATATTTTAACAACAAATGGCTACACTATTGTATGAGTACGTAACCTATACAAAATAGTCGTATTGTGTGTCATAAATAAATAACATGACCTTGGTTACAGATATGTACCGCCTCTAGCATCGATTCCAGCCGATTTCCCAGACTCGGCTCAGGCGATTAGCTTAGAACTACACAAACAAGAGTCGCTACTGAACCAGATACATGCTGAAATGCACGCTGGCTTCATCACGCCGGCCAGAGACCAACAGCTTTGGGAAGCACAGAGGATCGTCACACAACTTAAGGTTCGTAATAGAGCAACTATACTCGTATTAATCAACCTAGTCAATTGCCGTTTTGCACCCACCATGTCCCCGTGACAAGACATTAAAAAATTCAAAATAGACGATTTGTTAAAAAGTCCCGAATGCAATTAACTGTTAATAGCCTATATTTAAGCCTCTTCAGTAACCTGTTTATTATTATACCGTTACTTACGGTAAGTACAGTACAAAAGGTCCTAAGATAATATCTATAGATCCTATCATTTATATCTCCAATGGGTCTCCAATATAATTTACTGCCTCGATCAGAGTGATACCACGTTTCGTTGCTTTTTACTTCTATTTATTTACCATTTGTGATTTTTCTACTTAGCTGCATAACGAAAATAAAGTTAATAATTACCTTAATACTATAAGTATACAGGAAATTTTAGAGATCGACAAACAGTCGGTTTTGTGGAAATAAGAGTTTGTTGGGAAATGTTATAACTATAAACATTTTCTTCTTTTGATCATATTAAGTCAAGGCTTATGCAAAGCAATTATTTCAAAATCAATTATTCACGCCATGTTTGATGCAATATACAAAGTAAAAGTTTGACAAAAAATATTTTTTTCTCTTATGTAACTATTGTTTCTTACGTATATACGACAGTAAAAAATAATTTTATTAATCAAAATTGTAAGTGATAATTTTTTTGCAGAGAAAACTCCGTTCTGTCCAGAAATCCGTGGAACCTCACTCTTTACAACAACATCAAATATCTGTAGACGAGAAACAACCGGACGAAGAACCGATCCGAAGACTATCACAATCACAACCACAGCCTCAGCCAAAGTCCACCACACCACAGGACACAGATACCAAAACACCAAACGAACCATTACCTAACCAAGAAGTAAAAGAATCACCGAACGATCCTACTTTTGAAGCCGAATTCGAGGATAATTTCGATAATTTCAAACCCGAAAAAGAAGTTTCAGAACAGGAACCCCCTCCTGCAGAATCTATTAAAGAAAAACCTAAACTAACGGAAAAGGAATTAAAAGTGTTAAGGCTTGAATTGGAAAACGCTGAATATTTGCAACTAAAGTCGTTATTACAAGCTAAAATTAATTCAGAACAGTTTGAAATCGTCAAACTAAGAAGCGCAGTTGCTTTGAAAAATAAGCAAGAAGGAAGTCAGTGTACCAAAGACAGCAAAGAGTGTAATTCTCAAGATGAACAGGAACTGAGACAAAAGTTAATCAAGGAGAATGCATTACTCGAACAGAAAAGACTGAATTTGATCAACCAAATATTCCAAGAAAGAGTGGCGTGCATACAGTTGAAAATTGAGCTCGCTATGAAAGAAATATTGTCTAAATCGTAAATCTTTGTAAATACGGGTTGACGACACGGTCATATCATATAAATGCTAATTTTCGGCCAACGTTTGTTATATACAGTAGATTGCCGTTTTAGAAGAACGAAAGAAAATACATTTTTTCATGATAGGAATCATATTAAATAATAGACTTTTTAATTTGAAATGATAGAGATATCCTTCTATTTTCGGTAAACCCATAAGTATTAACAACATGAGATTCAATCGTTAATGAGCACTGAAGGCGTTGCAAATCAATATCTTAATTCTATATCGTCTCTATATTCAATCTCTTTGCAATAGACTACTAAATATTAAACAGTGAATGAACAACGTAAATAAATAAATTAAAATTGAAATTTAAGGGTGATACAATATTTAATTCAGTGACATTCCTACTTTAAACATTTTCTTCTTCGCTTCTTAGCTCTACAAACTGAACTTAAAGAAATTTCTCCTATTTTTTTATGCTCAGTTCAGTTATAATATAAATGTAACGTTGTGGTTAAAACCCTCATGTATATACTTAAGAGAACAATTTTATTTGTATGTATTTACTTGCAGTTAATAAGTGCAGCCTATCATGTGCCGAATCACTCGTAAGTCTGTTGCTAGGGCCGCGCCCTACACTTTATAACTGACTCATTTCATTATAGATAACAAAACGGCTAGTATGACCATCCTGACTTCCTCCCAGAATAAGCCAGAAGTGATAAACGCTAGATTTGGCTGAATAATCATTCCAATGAGGTTATATAATGATATAAATTAGACTCAAATATTAGGATCGATTATGAATTGTATGTTACCGTGTTACGTATTTGATAGTATTATCCAAGATAATATTGTAGAGATAATGCAGTTTTATCTAACATGACATATAATTGCATTAGTAGCTGACGCGGTAGTCATGTTTAAAAATATATTAAGCACTTTATTTATTAACAATATGACAAAGTTATAATAAAATAAAATTTATTAAAAAGATTTTTTGTGTTTGTTTTGTGTATGTTTATTTTATGTAATATTAAGATATTGATGTGATACTGTTCTAGCAAAACCCATACTTCCGAAATTGATGATCCTACATTTTTTTTTGGTCTGAACTCAATTCACACTTAACTGGGTTTTCATTTTAAAAACGTTTTATAACATTTTTGTTTATAAGTTTTTGCATTATATTAGGTCTTTATTTATGAAGTTGGAGATTTGTATGAAAATTTTAAAATTAAAAATCTTGGTTACATTTTTTTATTTTCGCTAATCGAAAGTACTGGCCCAAACTATGTATACAATTTTGCCATTTTGATGTCTGTTTTTTTTTTATCTTTTTATTGTAGAAGTCTGCTGAACGGAAGGCAGAAGCCAGTTAAAGCGTTTTGTACTGCCTCTCGAGTGGTAAATATTTTCCCAATTAAAAAAACATGTGTGTCTCGGGACACCCGACAGAATTGATAACTTAATCTAAGTTGAACTATTTAATATTGAAATTGTTAAACTTGAGAAAAGCTTAGGTTATTACTTAAATTTTATGTAAAGCTGTCCGAAATACGGCTAGCGCTGTGGGTTAGAGTGAGAGAGGAGGAGCCTGCATACCGCTGCTGTATGCGTGAGAGAAAGGAAAGCGAGACAGACTGGTGCCGTAACGCGTTACGTAACGAAGCGATTTACCCTTCCATAAGAAGTTGTCACTTCAAAATAGTCTAACATTTGAAAAAGAAGAAATCTATTGTGGCAAGTTCCGGTGAGTACCTTGGGTGACAGAGAGCTTCCAGCTGTAACTCTTGTAGCTTTGCAATGGTCTGTCGTGAAGTGTGAGCTCCCGCGTTGTCGTGGAGGAGCAATGGGGAAGAGCGATTGACCAGTCGTGATTGTTGAATTGCGAGCTTCTCCATTGTTTGCAATTCTTGGCAATAGACATCTGCCATCACTGTTGTGCCATTAAGAAGCCGGTAAGAAGATGTGATGTACAAGATTGACACTGGTCCACCAGACAGTCACCACCATCTTTCTATCTTTCTTTTATGGTAAGTGCACTCATTAGGTGCTGTACTCGGGTCCACCCTCTGAGACAAACTTATCATCGTAGTAACAACTCGATTCATAATTCCCTCGTTTCTACACCGATTCAGTAGTGCTATGCATGCTTCGACGCATAAGTCTAGCTGATGCCTGCTTGGTTCGTGTGGCACCCACTTTTTTTTTTATTGGGACTAATCCCACCCACACGCCCACCACTGTAACTCCTGTACACCAGGATCCACAGCAGTGACCCACGAACACACCGAGTTGTGACACTCGGGAAGTTCCATTAAGAAATTAAACTGTTTTGGAACCCGCAACGAAATTAATCAGAAGAAAATTGGAGGAGTTGGAAATACAGTAAATCCACTTCCCTCCTTAGCAAAGCGGGAGACAAAATAAATTAAAATGGGCATACACCCTTTTAAACAGGGAAGCACCACGGCCACAAAATATTACGGGTCCTACGTGAGCTATATTTGATTTCTATAATATGTATGGCAGAATCGCCTAAACGCACGGAAATTCACCCTAGTTGACACAATATCCCCATAGTATATGTCACCCAGATGTCACCTGCAAGCTATTCAGCATTATATTACGTTCATTATACCAAAGACTACATTCCCAGAGGATATGATGAGCAGACTGTTCATAGTGAGAGTTAGGTGTTGAGCATTGACACAATGGTGACTCGACTAATTTAAATGAATAAAGCTTGCTCTTAAAGTTACCATGACCCGTAAGAAATTGAGCGACACAGTGATCTACCTCAAGCCATATCCTCGACAACCGTTCGCGAACAGATGGAAAGAATTGGTAAAGATGGCGCCCCTTGGATGATTCATCCCAGCGTTGTTGCCATTCGTCTATGAGGTCATTATAGACATCGGGCTGCTGTTGAAGCAATCTTGTAATTTTACCGCGATCCCGCGCGCCCAAAAAATCGCATTCCATGTTTTGTTGTCTTGAATAGTACATGGCTGCACGTCTCTGCACCTCGAGATCGACCGGAAGGACACCCGCCAACACCGGCAAAGCCTCAGTGCTAACCGTCCTATATGCCTTACACAAGAATATCAGTGCAAGTCGTTGGCCTTGTAACAGTTTGCGACGGACAGCGCCTACGGTCGCCCTATCGGCCCATACAGGTGCACCATAGCACATAGAACCTAAATAAGTAGCTCCGTATATGATCTTTAATGTATTAAATGGTAGACCCCATGTCGCAGTTGATATCCTTGTCAATGCGCAGAAACTCTTTTTAGACTTTTCATTAACTATTTTAATATGCTCGATAAATGAAAAGTTTCTTTCTAAAACTAATCCTAAGTAACACACTTTTTTTTCCGTGCGAAAATCCCCTCGGTTACCACGAATCGAATCGACTAAAACCGCACGCCGTCTCGGGTATTAATAGCCGGGGAACCAGGTATACCCTAGAAAGGAAGTCCCTGGTGCCTTTGGTAACACTGAGGTTTTATTTTTTACAGTAACATTGTCAAATCTAATGCTTGGCGGTGATTTGATGTGGCACCCACTTATCTACCTTTTTTATCTTTCCGATTTGACTTAAGTGCTACAATCATGTTTTGCCGCAGCAAGTTCAGCTATAGATTGAGTTGGATCCGCTTTCACAATAAACTCGCAATAGCTTTGAAATTCGTCGTTGTCGACCATAGTAACCGGCCGACCCGCGAGGCTCGTTCTTCACCTCAAAATTTCCAGATCTAAAATGATTGAACTAATAACGAACCGTATTTATGCAAGCAGTGTTAGGCCCGTACACGTTGTTCATGTTTTGTGTTAGCGTAGCGAAATTTACATGTAGGGACTCAATTGTAATTGTACGAATTTTCAGTTTATCAATGGCGCCAAAAACTACCACAATTCAACAAAAACAAATCACTTTCTAAAACAAATGACTGAATTGCGAAATCTGAAAATGCTGGTTTTAAAAATTTACAACTTTATAGGTATTATTAAATTCGCATTGTATGTTCAAACTCCTTGATGTCTTGCCATCTATTTTATATTTTAATGGTTTTTTAGTTTACCTTACTTTCACCGCCTAAATCTTTAGAAAACACTACTGTGAGTCTAAAAAGGAATTTGATACTTTAAGTTCTTGTAGACGCATATGACTTTTAAAACAAAAATCAATAGTTTTAAAGTCAGGATTTTATGTGGTTTTCATTACTTTATCACTTTCTATTTACTTCAATGGTTTCCTAATTTCAGTTCTCGCGTAGTACAATTTTTTCGATTGAAACAAAACTCATATTTGTAATTAGGTTGTCTACATGTTTGACATAGAGTTACTCTGTATGTACTGAATAATAATAATGTATTCATTGTTTACTTACGTATACCACAGAAGGCTTAATAACGTAAAAGCAGGCTTTGCTGGACGAACGACCGGGCTTTCTGAAATAGAGATCGCAATAGATAATATGCTTATTTTATGTCTGTTATCCAGGTCTGTAACCAAAAAGGTAGAATGCTGAGTTTTTGCTCAATGCAAATTTCAAGGATTGGAAAACCCATGCATACAGTACAGGAAAACGTAAATGACCTTGCGGATCTCGCCATAAATAACTTGTACAAATTATTTTGTAGAATTTATTACATTATTGACGATTAAAGCTATACGTAGTGTGTAGACTTCAACTATAAACCGACTTGTAAAAATATCTGAAAAGATTTACTTGCAGAAATAAATATCAGTTTATTTTATTATAAAAATAATATTGCCAATATCTGACGCACAACGCCATCTAGTTTCAAACTAAGCAAAGCTTGTACTACGAAAGCTAGATTGACTGATAGAATACTCATATAGTTTTACGTAAATGCATACATATTATTCATAGAAACGACGTGAGGGGCCTATGGATCTCCGGTCGGAACGAAGTTTGCGGCGATGTATTTAGTTCATACACGGCTTGTTACACTCAGATCGTGTAACGCGCGAAAAGGAACTT